TGGGTTTGCGCCCTGAAAAAGGTTATAAAACATTAGTTTTTTTATAACAAGAAATGATTGTAACAGGATGCTGTTACGAAGTCTCCCAAACGAAGCTCCCATAATTCGTAATTCCCAGGGTCGCCTGACATTGGGTAACGTCCAGTGAAAATTGGTTTGGTCCAGTAAAGTTATATGCATTAGTGATGCCTGGGGACTAACCTTGTATATCATTCAAATCATCTTGGCATGACAAACCAGAATATATATGGTTTAGGGGTGGGGATCTCGACCATTTACAAGATACTAGAATATTGGGGGTGGGGAGGAACCCCTGGGGACTGGCCCTATACGTCATTCAAATGTTCATTACATGACGAACAGGAATATATATGGTTTAGGGGTGGGGATCTCAACCATTTACAAGATATTAGAACATTGGGGGTGGGGGGAACCCCTGGGGACTGACCATATACGTCATTCAAATGTTCGAGACATGACAAATAGGAATATATATGGTTTAGGGGTGGGGATCTCAACCATTTACCAGATATTAGAACTTTCTCAAATGGCAGGGGGTCGGGATGACCCCTGGGGACTAACCCTGTTTATCATTCAAACCATCTTCGCATGAGAAACCATAATATATATGGTTTAGGGGTGGGGATCTTGACCACACTAATCCTGTATTTCATTTAATGGGCTTTATCATTTAGAACATTTTCAATTAAAAAGATTGTGTCTATCACAAACGGTTTTCAATTTATAATCATTTGAAAATTTTAAAAAATAAAATCCCATAGGGTTCTATAGTAAAACCCTCTTTTCTTTTTGCCCCTCAAAGTACCCCTTTATAAACCCCATTGCACAAACAAAACCCTGATTGCACCACTAGACATGTTAGTGTAACATATTGTGAAACCCTAAGTTAATCTGACAAGCGGTTTTGGACAACGGGTGCGGACAAGTTCAAATTTAAAAGCCGCGGAAGAAGAAGAAGAATAATAAGAACTGAGCAAAAACAATAAGTCTTCCCAACCTTCGTTTGGGAGACTTAATTAAATGAACTTCCATTAGCAATGTATACTTTGTACTACCTGGCGAAATATTAACTAGATTTATTCATTACAATCTGGATAAAACTATGTTTGCCTGATTCAATGTATGTTATGTAAATCCAAAGGACAAACAATGAGAGACTTATGCAACAAACGTACATTGTTTGTACCTAAATAACTATAATATAGATGAGAGCATGTCATTGTTTTGTTCCTGTTAACACTGTCATTGATATTTTTCAAGAAAGTCTATGAGGCATAGCTTATGCATTCGTCATTACTACATTAGCATAATTACTGCTAAAATAATTCTCAGTATGATATACCTCTTGTAAGAAATCATTATAATTGTAGCAATCACCAAAAAATCTCAAACAGATCACATTGAATCGTAATCCAAAAAATTATGACGTCTTGAATTACCCACCCCCTTTTATTCTAAAACGATAATTGCGGTTGTAAACAGACTTTGGTTTATTCGCATGGCGATTACATATATAACTATATATTTCACAAAGAAAATAGAGTTTTACCATGAATAGTTTCCTGCACGTAGTCTTTTTCAGTAAAACGTGCCTTGCAAACAACAGCTGATTGAGATGGACTCCACGATATCATCGTGTTCTCGTCCAATCTGCGTATGGGCCATGGCGTTGATCCAACTTTTCCTTCTTTTTAAGTCATTTGGAAATGCATGTCCTCCTCTTAAATGACATCCAGGTACACAACAACAAGTACTTGGCATCGTTAATTAAAAATATAACTGAAATAGTTGCACAGTGCAGAAACCGGAAGTAGAGGAACAGGATCCGCTACAATGGCGGAATTATAGTTATCTCGTACCATTGTAAACTCGTACCAATGTCAACTCGTACCACTAAAAAAAAACTCGTACCAATGCAAACTCGTACCACTGCTAACTCGTACCACGGTAAATTCATACCATTGTAAACTCGTACCAACTTATTCATGTTATTTAAATGCATTCAAATGGTGTTTAATCATGATGAATATATACTTTAATTTCACTCAATACCTCTTAAGTCTGTAAATTGTATATAATTTGAAATTACAATGACCAATTTGTAGATAAATTTGGTTGATTATATAGGGAATCACTGAAGCATGACTGGAGCGGGCGCCGCCCCCCCCTCACCTTTAGTCAGCGGGCCCCCTCTTATGAAAAGTTCTGGATCCGCCACTGATAGCGAATCCTGATTGGTTGATACATGTATGTGCGCCCGTTATATTTTGTTATTAGAGACTTCGTGCATTCTGCATTATACCAAAGGCCAAATAAATTATTTTCCTTAGCACTTACGGAACTGAGATGTCTTTTAAACGCTAGGATGAGACATGTATTTTTAAGTGCAAAATTGATAAGCATGGGAGATAAGTACAAATTACGATAAGAAAAGCAACGCGAACCTATATTTTTTGGACCAAAAAATACTGTCCAAATAACTTTTCTTTAATTCTAGCAAGGTTTCTTTAAAAAAAATCAACTTTCTAAAGTCTGTATCTCGAAAAAGGCTATCATTGTCGCCTATGGGGAAATTAATTGTTTATTTCAATCTATACAGCGTCGACATTTCTTTATTATAGTGCTCAAAAAGTGTCAAAAACAGTAATTTTACTTGATATTTGATGTGAAATCGTATTTTTTGGTGACAAATGAATTATTGTTTAACTAGTTTTTAAGCTATAGTCTGTTTCATATTTGTATTGCGTTTTACCATAGAAACAAGGGTGGGTTCGACTTTTGACTTACTGTGAAGAGAATATGTCATTTTCTGAACTTCTGCTGACTTGTTTGAAAAAAGCACGTACACGTCTAGAGTTTGGATATACAAATCGATTTTTAAACATGACAATCTCAATTGGTAATTCAACTTTTTTTATTAAGTTTACCAAAAAAAAATCATAAAACATTCGTATTTTTGAATATATTTTTAATGGTACGAGTTCTGATTGGTACGACTTCCCAGTGGTACGAGTTTACGTTGGTACGAGTTAACTTTTTTGGTACGAGTTTACGTGGTACGAGTTTACAATGGTACGAGTTAACTTGTTTCCCAATGGCGCCACCTATTCAGGAACGATAATTTGCTACTTTATATAACTGCGAAATTACAATAACGTTAGACGGGTTCACGTGCATAAACAGAAATGCGCTTTAAATTGTATAATATAATTCATGTTCAGTCGATCTTTAATTATTATATCAACGACTGAAATGATTTATAAACATCTAGATTGCAGATAACACTCGAAATTAACCCGAGCTCTTTCCACACGGAATTCAAATAATTCTAGTTTGTCAATCGGTTGACTGCTTATAATGCAAAATACTAATATATCAAAAGTTTTTAAAACTAACAAAACACAATGATCGTTTCTCTATTTCCCAATGTAAATGAAATGAAACAAAAAACATTTTATATCGCAATAAGAAGAGGAGAGAATTCAACATTTCCGGATCTACTTGGAGCCTAATGACCCCCCACGTAGATAAGTTGGATATCGCGGAAGGAAGGATTAACCCGGCAACTAGAAAGGCATTAAAGCACTGCCTTTAAAAACACAAGCTAGAAATACAAAAATACCTCAATAAAACTAACAATAGTGTGTTCTATCCTAAATATGTATTGAATATTCAATATTCACAGAAAAAGCTGAATTATTTAGCAAATGTGAGGCCCCAGTGGCAAAAAAACAGAAAAAGGCCTACCCCCTGGGTCACAAAACAGATAATTTAACCTGTAAATGCTATGATCTTATATTTTAAAGGTCTTTTATATAGAAAACAATAACTGTGCTTTGAAATTATGCAAAAAACAGATGTTAGCAGTCAGTTCTATAAAACTTTTAGTGAAGTCATACATAAGACTGATAACTTCATACATACAACTTTTGAAAATATGGCTTTGTTTAAACACTTCTTGTTCATATATTAGCTTAATTATGTTAGATATATGATTTAGAGATGATATTGGTGTGACAACATTTCTACACTGACCATTTGAGGCAGAAACTATTAACTTTAATTGACAAATAGGCATACAGTAAGATGTGGACTGGAGACAAAGGCAGGATTGGATACTTTATATAATCTTGAATGTTGGAATGATTAACTACTAAACTTTACATTTATAGTATTCTGAAATGCTTTTAATTTGTAATAAGAATAGTTTCAAACAGGTTCATTTATAGTATTCTGAAATGCTTTTAATTTGTTATAAGAATAGTTTCAAACAGGTTCTAGACATTTCATGTCAGAAAACATGCACATAGGATAAGCTGACAATAATCAAAGCCTTGTTTTCAAATTCTTTAAAAAATTAAAACAGGGGTGGGGGTATAAAATGTACTGTAAAAGAAAAGTTAGAGTATATGCAGTGATTTCTTTAAGGCTATAATTCTAATAAATAAGTATTGTTGTGAGAAAAAGTGTTTTTCAAGAGTTTTCTATTTGAATAAATGTTTGTATAGGTTGCACTTTGTAAATACAGCTGTTTGACAAGCCACACCTCTTTTGGGGAGATATATAATATTCATAGATATGTTAATTTGTTAACGTACTGGTTCCCAGATATGATCTCTGTGTTTCATCTCATAGAGACATAACTTGAGAATGTTACCAGTATAGAAAAAATGGTAGCGCCTAAAATTTAATTCTTAGGAGGTCCAAAAGTGGAGATAGGGGTAGTATAGAATTTTAGTATAAGTTTAAACTCTTAGAAGTTCAGGGCATATAAATGTTAAAAATATGCCGCACAGCCCTATATTTTGACCTTTGAATAAAATAGTATGCATATCAACTCTCCGTTCTGGGATATAATTTTTCACGAAACATCCTAGTAAAAGTGGCATACTTTTAGCCGCAAAGGGAGAAATTGCATTGTCTATATTTACAGAATTGCAACCTATAACCAGAATTCCTGTACTCTTGACTATACTTACTGTCCACCATAAAATCTACTGCAGACAATCACAGAAATCAGTATGATTACAAGAAGACCAACTCCGCCTCCTACAGCTCCTCCTATTATTGCTGTATTTGATGATGTCTTCACCACTACAAAAAAATATGCAAACTGCTAATTACCTTATTATGACCAATCCAATACTTGCTGCTTACAGAAAGATATAATTAATAGGAAACAGCAGGATTTTCTGATATACTTATATCCCTATATCCTTACATCATAAACCTCTGCCCACATAAGTAACAATATTTTCTTGTTTTCTGACTGTTCTTATTTATATGTTATCCTTCTTCCAGTATCCAAATTATTAGAATATCTTGAAAAAGTAACACGTCAGAAACTTACAGAACACCTGTCAAACATTCTTATTTTGTAATGTAAAAGAAATTGCTGGGAAAAAAACAAATATTGAATGAAAATTCAACGGTTCTTCACTGCAGTGATCCACCACTAGTTCCAAAAACAAGAAACAGGGCCTTTGTTTTTTTTTATAATTCTTTAGTTTGTTTTTCTGCACTGATACAATAATCATATGCATTCTTTCAAAAGGAGGATACCATATATGTTTTATAGTAAAAATTTGTAAGGGGTTCCATGGAACCCTGTGTCTCGCCTATGATTGCTGCTGTCAGTGTAAAAGTGTAAGGGTGACTTAAAAAGTGAGTCCATTTATCTTTTTCTTCAGATGCTATTTCTTGGGTCTTGAAAATAAGCTTCTGTCAAAGTTTCAGAACAATCCATGAAGGTTTACAAATTGATCATGTCAAAATAAATTAATCCCAGACTGTCTGTAAATATTAACTGTAAATAAACAGCTGCGCCATGAGCGCATGATACGCCCGTTGTCTTGTGTGTGAATTTTTATGCAATAATCATATATAGTTTCTGACATACGGCGCAACATGCCACAACCCCCCCCCCCCCTTTTTTTTTTTTTACAAAAACTCAATATCTCCAAAATGAAATTTTGAATCAAAACCAAAAAGTATACAGATCTTTAGATTAATATAACTAAGAAGTGTAAAATTTTAAGCAATAATCATAAATCGTTTTTGAGATATGGCACGACATGTGAAAACCCTTCTTTTAAAAAAAAAAAATCAATATCTCTAAAATAAAATTTTGAATCAAAACCAAAAAGTATACAGATCTTTAGAATAATATAACTAAGAAGTGTGTAAAATTTTAAGCAATAATCATAAATTGTTTTTGAGATACGGCGCTACATGTGAAAAACCCCTCCCCTTTTTTTTACAAAATACTCAATAACTCAAAAATAAAATTTTGAATCATCACCAAAAAGTATACAGATCTTAAGATTAATATAACTAAGAAGTGTGTAAAGTTTTAAGCAATAATCATAAAATGTTTTTTGAGATACGGCACGATATGTGAAAAATCAAAGCACTGTAAGCGCTGTAGGCAGTTAACCAAAACCCAAGGCAAACGTAATTATGAAAACTGTGGCAGTGTTGCTTCATTTTTTTTAAAAAGATTTGAAAGAACAAATATTAAACATTTGTATATTGTACTTTTTGGAATTTAGGGTCCTCAATGCTCTTCAACTTTGTACTTGTTTGGCTTTATAACTATTTTGATCTGAGCGTCACTGATGAGTTTTATGTAGATGAAACGCGTGTCTGGCGTATTAAATTATAATCCTGGTACCTTTGATCACTAATTGTACATTTATGTTTATTTAATGAATTGATTATTAAGGCAAATTAATTAATATTTCATCAAGGTTTTCAAAAGCAACGCATATATTAATATAAATGACCCCCATCTACACCCCAAGTCCATCATGTCACTCCATACCAAGTTATGAATAAATTGACAGGTGATTATAAAACAGTTGGTCAATCATTCTAGGGCTTTACACTGCTTGAAAGATTTATATGTTTTCCTTAAAATGAGCCATACATGAAAATTATTATAGGCCCAGAAATAAAATAAAGTATATTCAATTAACCTAGACTCATTTTTTGCATCAATAAAATTTAATAATAAACAAGAAATAATTGTAACAGGATGCCGTTACCAAGTTTTCCAAACAAAGCTCACATTATTCGTCATTCCCATGGTCGCCTGACATTGGGCAAAGTCCAGTACATATTGGTTTGGTCTAGTAAAGTGATATGCATATGTGACCCTTTATGTCATTCAAATCTTTTTGAAATGACGAACAAGAAAAAATAAAGTTGAGGAGTGGGTATCTCGACCATTTACAAGATCTCTAACAGGAGGGAGTGGGGTGACCTAAGGGACTCCCCATATATTTCATTCTATTTGTTGTGTTGTCCCATTCATGAATATATATGGTTTAGGGGTGGGGATCTCGACCTTTTACAAGTTCTCAAACAGGAAGGGGTATGGTGACCCTAGGAACTCCCCATATATTTCATTTGATTTGTTATATTGTCCCATACATGAATGTATATGGTTTAGGGGTGGGGATCGCGACCATTTCCAAGTTCTCAAACAGGAGGGGGTGGAGTGACCCAAGGTACTCCCCATTTATTTCATTTGATTTGTTATATTGTCCCATACATGAATATATATGGTTTAGGGGTGGGGATCTTGAATGTTTCCAAGTTCTCAAACAGGGGGGGTTGACCCCAGGTACTCCCCTATATTTCATTTGATTTGTTTTATTGTCCCATACATGAATATATATGGTTTAGGGGTGGGGATCGTGACCGTTTACAATTTCTCTAACAGGAGGGAGTGGGGTGACACTAGGGACTCCCCATATATTTCATTCGAATTGTTATATTGTCCCATTCATGAATATATATGGTTTAGGGGTGGGGATCTGGACTGTTTACAAGTTCTCAAACAGGAAGGGGTATGGTGACCCCAGGGACTTCCATATATTTCATTTGATTTGTTATATTGTCCTATACATGAATATATATATGGTTTAGGGGTGGGGATCTCGACCATTTCCAAGTTCTCAAACAGGAGGGGTGGGGTGACCCAAGGGACTCCCAATATATTTCATTTGATTTGTTATATTGTCCCATTCATGAATTTATATGGTTTAGGGGTGGGGATCTCGACCATTTACAAGTTCTCAAACAGGAAGGGGTTGTTGACCCCAGGTACTCCCCTATATTTTATTTGATTTGTTATATTGTCCCATACATGAATATATATGGTTTAGGGGTGGGGATCGCGACCGTTTACAAGTTCTTTAATAGGAGGGAGTGGGGTGACACTAGGGACTCCCCATATATTTCATTTGATTTGTTATATTGTCCCATACATGAATATTATATATGGTTTAGGGGTGGGAATCTCAACCATTTACAAGTTCTCAAACAGGAGGGGGTGGGGTGAACCAAGGTACTGCCCATATAATTCATTTGATTTGTTTTATTGTCCCATACATGAATATATATGGTTTAGGGGTGGGGATCGCGACCGTTTACAAGTTCTCTAACAGGAGGGAGTGGGGTGACACTAGGGACTCCCCATATATTTCATTCGAATTGTTATATTGTCCCATTCATGAATATATATGGTTTAGGGTGGGGATCTGGACTGTTTACAAGTTCTCAAACAGGCAGGGGTATGGTGGCCCCAGGGACTCCCATATATTTCATTTGATTTGTTATATTGTCCTATACATGAATATATATGATTAAGGGGTGGGGATCTCGACCATTTCCAAGTTCTCAAACAGGAGGGGGTGGGGTGACCCAAGGGACTCCCCATATATTTCATTTGATTTGTTATATTGTCCCATTCATGAATATATATGGTTTAGGGGTGGGAATAGCGACCGTTTACAAGTTCTCAAACAGGAAGGGGTTGACCCCAGGTACTCCCCTATATTTCATTTGATTTGTTTTATTGTCCCATACATGAATATATATGGTTTAGGGGTTGGTATCGCAACCGTTTACAAGTTCTCTAACAGGAGGGAGTGGGGTGACACTAGGGACTCCCCATATATTTCATTCAATTTGTTATATTGTCCCATTCATGAATATATATGTTTTAGGGGTGGGGATCTCAACCATTTCCAAGTTCTCAAACAGGAGGGGGTGGGGTGACCCCAGGGACTCCCCATATATTTCATTTGATTTGTTATATTGTCCCATACATGAATATATATGGTTTCGGGGTGGGGATCTTGACCGTTTACAAGTCTTTAAACAGGAGGGGGTGGGGGTGACCCCAGGGACTTCCCATATATTTCAATTGATTTGTTATATTGTCCCATACATGAATATATATGGTTTAGGGTGGGGATCTCGACCATATCCAAATTCTCAAACAGGTGGGGGTGGGGTGACCCCAGGGACTTCCCATATATTTCATTTGATTTGTTATATTGTCCCATACATGAATATATATGGTTTAAGGGTGGGGATCTCGACCATTTACAAGGTCTTAACCAGAAGGGGGTGGGGTGACACTGGGGACTCCCCCAAATTATTTTCATTTGATTTGTTTTATTGTCCCATACAAGTATAAATGTGGTTTAGGGATTGGGATAACAACTGTTTACAAGATAAAAGCACATTTTCAGATTGAAAGGGGTTGGGATGACCCCCAGGGACTCATCCTATATTTTATTTTATTTGTTTTATTGTCCTGTTCTTATTACTGAAGACTGCGTGTGTCTATCACTTACTGTTTTGGAAAATTAGTCATTTGAAAATTTAAAAAAATAAAATCCTATGGGGTTCTTCATTAAACCCCTCCCTTCTTTAGGCCCCTCAAAATACCCCTAAATAGACCCCAATGCACAAACAAAAGCTTATGGCTCCGCTATACATGTTAGTTTAACATTTTATGAAACACTAAGAAAATCTGACAAGCCTTGCGAGTTGTCTATTTAGACGGTTCGAGTGGATTCGGGCTGACTTGTCTCAGGGACAAGTTGTCCACATTGCTTAAAACATGCCATCAACGTTGATTTCCGGATCTGTTTCATGACCTTGTTTCATTCATAAAAAAACAACCTTATTTGGCATGATAATTTAAAATTACCGCCAAGTTAGACATATAACTTTATTTCCTCTATCATAGAGATTTGTTGTACATGAACAATATTCCTGCGCATTTTGTCATTTGGGAAATGTAAACGACTTGTAATTACAGATTTTCAGCGATGAAATATTTCATACAATTGGTCTTTGACATCCTAGCCAAAAGCACAGGGGATAATAAACTATGTATGGATTTCTATTGAGCACTATTTCCTATGTGCAACTTCAAATATTATGGGTCATTCGACGATCATTTAAGGTTATTCTGGTCATATTTTTTGTATTCCAGAATTAAAAGTATGAAAAAAATGTCCAATTAGTTATAAATAACATATTAGCCTTCTTGATTATAACAATGGCACTTTTTTCAGCATTCGTTGGGAAGAACACAAATCTAGGGTGCTAGCATAAGGCAGCTTAACTGCCTAAAAACACACACCTGTTTTAGTTACTAAGTCACGTAACTCAAAAAGTTTTAATTCTATTTTCACCAAAAAGTATACAGATCGTTTGACCATCATAAGAAACAACTATGTTAAGTTTCATGAAATTTGGATAATTTGTTACGGTGCGACATGTTTACGCCGGACAGACGACATTTGTATACCATAATACTTCCCGTGAAAATTTTGACGGGCGTATAAAAACTAAGTCCATCTATCAAAAAAATACTGAAAATGAAACTATTTTTTCAAAAGTTTGCTTCAGACATTATCTCTTAATCATAAAAAAGCTTCTGCCAAAGTTTCATAAAATTCTATGAATATGTAATTGACAAAGTAATTGATGTGTAACAAACTTTAACCCTAGACTGTATCTACTTGTTAACTGTAAAAACACTTGTTAACTGCAAAAAAATTTGCTAACTGTAAAAAAAACTAAGTCCAGTTATCAGTAAAATACAGAAAAATGAAAATAAATATTCTCAAAATTTTGCTCTGGATACTGTATTTGGTCATAAACAAACTTCTGTCCAAATTTCATAAGATTCCATGAAGGTTTGACAAAGTTATTGATATCTAAAAAAAACTTTAACCACGGACTGAAACTAAATGTTTATGTCGTAGCCGACGGAATCTAGGATCGCTATGTCTCGCTTTCACAACATAAATGTTGCAGGCTCGACAAAAATGACATGTCATTGTTAAAGCTATAAGAAATTAACTGTACCTTTAGAATCACATCTGGAACCTTCATAGCTGTCTTTGCATGTACAGTATTGAGAATGTTGATCTGCATGACAAGTCCCAAAATTACAATACCCAGGAGTCTTTACACATATCGCTGTAATAAGCATTTTTCTAAATGTAAGACATATGTATTTTCATGAGTAAATACAAGGACCTAGTCAGTGACATCATTAAAAAGCTACAAGATAATTTTTTACAGCAGTGCAAACATGTTTGACCATTCTTTCCATAATAAATGTCATTCAAACATTCTAAAGATTGCAATAATGGACAAATTTAGACTTTTAACTTTTGACCTGCGACATAATTTATGTTGCACAATCTCAGCATCCTAATGTAAATGAGATATGAATTAATCACAACCTCCAAAACAGTAGCGTTCCATTTAAGCAGCACCCCTTTTGAATTGGTAAATGTTTAGCCCAAAATTTTGAAATGGGATCTTACTACACTGCATCTCCATATTGTGATAAATATCTAACTGAAAACCAATGCATAACAAAAAAATAGCTCAATTTTCCATGCATCAGTTTGTCAATAGAGGATAAAATTGCCAAAGATTATACTTAAGCTGCAAGTCAGGTGAAGTAAAAATGTGCTCTATTATTAGAATAAGAACTGGAACTTTTATGATGAATAAACTAAAGGGTATTAGGTCTTCATTATTAAAGGGGCATTAGCTGTCAAATTCATGTTCTTCGATTTGACTCAAATTCTCATATTCGACTTATAAAATACTAAAACGTATATCCATATTAAAAAAAAAATAAAATAAACAATTTACGATGCATAGTACGTATCAGCATTTCGTTACGGGTTCAGTCTAGACACCATCTAACTAACCATTGAGGTGACCTTCCGAAGACTGCCGACAGTCATATATCCCGACATAAACATAAACATAGATATAAATAGATAGAGAACTCGTGCAATTGGATTTTTCTAGGTCTGTTTGATTTCATATTATAGGTTAAAACAATATCTTAATAATCATTTTTACCTGTATAAGAATGAGTTTTTGTAGATCGAATCAGTCAACCAAATGATTTACCCTTGTTTCACTTCCAATGTTGACATTCTTTTCCTTTTAATAGCTAAACACGCCTAGTTCATGTGTAACCCATCTCTAGCTAAGGGGTTCAATTGAAGTTCACATGAACACGGAATTAATGAGGTCGAAATATTCACTTGCAAGTGAGTAATTCATTAGCGATGTTTCTTTGCTTATTTTGACAAAACTGAACCAAACTGGCTGCTAAAAGTGAATTATTATTTCACTATTTCACTTTCATTAATGATTGAACAAAAAAAATCATATTTTATTTTTTTCTATACCTCGTAGCTAATGTCCCCTTAAAATTCATATGAAACTTCAAATTTAAAAAACAAGTTGAAAATGTTTTATATACTTGGATGGCTAAGTTTTAATAAAACAAGTGTACATGAACTTTCTTGTAAAAAAAAAATCATTTATCTTATCAAAATCTTCATCAGTGTACTGCTAATGAATTATTGTCTTCCCATACACAAATTCACGGATATTTTCCTGTATGCAGTGACCTTAACTACGAGACCTCTCGATAGAATTCCAGCCGACGCACAGTGCAAGTGAGAGGGGGGAAACTGTGATGAAAGAATGTAAACAAAGGTGCAGTGGAAGGTAAATAGTAATGACTGGTTCTTAAAGAACAAATTTAATACAACAAATCATTTAACAACTGTTAATGAAAAATTTAATTAACAAATGTGAATGCATGGAAAATATAACAAGAGCAACAGCAAACCGGATTATTTAACATTTATTTGTGTCCTGGCATTTTTCAATATCACAAGGAACATAACTCCTGAACGGTAAAAGTTACAATCATCAATATTGAACTTGAACTTGACCTCCATTTTGTCATCAGTAACAACATATCAAAATTTGAAAAGGTTTGGTTGAACGGTTCATGAGATAAAGCACGGACACGACTGGAAAGACCATTTTTCAATCTTTCAAGAACTCCTGAATGGTGAAAGTGAAAATCGTCATTATTGAACTTGACCTCCATTTTGTCATCAGTAACAACATATTAAAATTTGAAAAGCTTTGGTTGAACGGTTCATGAGTAAATGCACAGACACTATTTGGCAGCCGCCCGCCAGGATGCCCGCAGTACATCCCCAAATAAATAACCGATTTTTCCTTCAGAAATCCGGTTAAAAATTAAATATCATGGCTCTACCAATTCACTTATTTGTCACACTCTCCGTGTGCTCGGTGTTGATTGTTTATCAATGTCACGATCCGGTAAACTTCGACAACAAACTTGAAAGTTAAAAGCACAGACACCACTGGAAAGACCATTTTTCAATCTTTCAAGAACCATAACTCCTGAACGGTGAAAGTGAAAATCGTCATTAATGAATTTGACTTCCATTTTGTCATCAGTAACAACATATTAAAATTTGAAGAGCTTTGGTTGAACGGTTCATGAGTAAATGCACAGACACTGTTTGGCAGCCGCCCGCCAGGATGCCCGCAGTACATCCCCAAATAAATAACCGATTTTTCCTTCAGAAATCCGGTTAAAAATTAAATATCATGGCTCTACCAATTCACTTATTTGTCATATACTCCGTGTGCTCGGTGTTGATTGTTTATCAATGTCACAATCGGGTAAACTTCGACAACAAACTTGAAAGTTAACAAGCTTGCAATCAACTATCACTGAATGAAATATTATTGTCGATAATACGTTTTAGGTTTGTAATAAATGTAAACAAGAATGTGTCCATAGTACACGGATGCCCCACTCGCACTATCATTTTCTATGTTCAGTGGACCCTGAAATTGGGGTCAAAACTCTAGTTTGGCATTAAAATTAGAAAGATCATATCATAGGGAACATGTGTACTAAGTTTCAAGTTTATTGGACTTCAACTTCATCAAAAACTACCTTGACCATAAACTTTAACCTGAAGCGGGACAGACGGACGGACAAACGGACACACAGAACGAAAAACATAATGCCCCTCTACTATTGTAGGTGGGGCATAAAAACGTGCATACAGGACTTACTTTAGTATATATTCATGCATTGGTAAAATAATTTCGATAACATTAAAATTTCAAGAACCTAGTTTCATATGACTTTAACAGTCTTCATATAAAGATTGTACTGAAATGTAAATAGCTAAGGTCATTTTTGATATATGTATGGGCAAGAAACAAGCCAAACTGCATCAACATATGACTGGAAGTTTGTAGTTGTACAATCAGTGTAGGTTTAATTTTTTTTAGAACATCAAATTTAACTGTCCTATATATATTTATGAACATCAATTATTGAGAAAAATAAAATGTCATCTTCAAGTGGTGTGATTGCCTTTGAGGCAACTCTGTACAGAAGAACAAAATATAAGATTCTTATACATGTAACTACAAATAGCCATATGGCCTTCAAGGCACTAATATAGTAAATACACTGTTGACACAGAGCCTGTGTCAAATTTGAATAGTATGATGTAAATGCCGAAATGAACTCTTGTTGAAATAAAGGACAGGACATTCCAAATACATTACAATAAAAAACTAGATGTGTCGGAATGACACCAATGGCCCCACTTACAATTAAAGCTTTAAGCCATTTTAAGGAGTGGAAAAGTGAGAATGAAAGGCAGTATTAAAACTTTTATTACCAAAGTCCAAAGCCTGTAAATTTGGAACAAATCAGCAGAGCAAAACCAAACATAAAGTCGATCTGTACCTCATCATAGTAGACTCAAATTCTAAAAATCAGCTCAATATGTGAAGGCGTCTGTATAAGTGGTATTTTCACAAAATTTTCAAAGTCCAAAGCCTGTAATTTCGGCAAAAATCAGCGAAGCTTAACCAACAGTAAACTCAATCTGTAACTCATCATAGTAGACTCACATACTCACCTGCATCTTCAACAATGGTCACTTTTAGAAAAAAAATAATCATAATAGGGGAATAACTCTATGAAGAGTTAACTGACAATTTAAGTCATGTTGACATGTTGGTAAATTTTATACTACTGATAATTTTTCCTTTTTAAAGTAACATTATCTATGATAATTTTCAAGATAATAGGTAAAAATTGAATAAAAATGTTAAAAATCATATTTAAGGGCAATAACTCAAATAAATAGTCTTGAAGATTTCTGCCATTATGGCACATTTGTAGATCTTGCTTGCTGATCATTTGTTTTATTTAAAGTTTTTATCTATCTATAACAGTTTTCAAGATACATGTAATAGGCAAATGTGGGAAAAAATCCTCATTAAAGGGCAATAACTTCAAAAAGGAGTTGTCTAATTTCGGTTATGTTGACTTATTTGTAGATCTTGTCTTGCTGATCATTAAAAGGCAATAACTCTAATAAGGAGTCATCTGACAATTTTGGTCATGTTGACTTATTTGTAGATCTTTCTTGCTGATGTACAGACGGACAAGGGTAACACTTAATGCCCACTCTGTTGCTGCAGAGGCTTAAAAAGTCCATTTAACTGTTATTTTCAAAGTCTAAAGGCAGTAATTTCAGCAATAAACTGTTATCACAAAGCTATGTCTCACCTTTTTGTAATTTTGATAATGCAAATGTTGAAATTAAAATAGCAATACTTTAACATGTAAGTTATGCAAATATTCAAAGTCGATGAACCATGACTGAAGGTACATGGCTAAACAATCTCCATGGAATGAGATGTGCCAATGCTAATACAACTGCATACCAAATACCATTGCCTTATTATAAGTTGTTCCCTTTAAACAAGCCTAAACACAAACATTAACTTATAAACTATGTAAAAGTTTCAAAGCCAATGAACCATGATCAGGGGTGGGGCTATATAATCTCCTTGGAAACGATACTTGCAAATGCCAATAAATTTGCATACCAAATATCACTGACTTAACATTAGCAGTTCATCTTAAACTGATCTAATCACAAACTAATACATGTAAACTAAGCAATATGTGAAGGCATTTTGAAAAAAAGTCGGTACAACTGTTCGTTGCAGAATGATGGAATGACAAAATGACGGATAAGGGTAACACTAAATGGCCCCGTCCACTTTGTGGCGGGGCCATAAAAAGTACATCAATAAGCTAATGTTAAGCTCACTTATGTGGTCTGTATGTGAGACTATACCCCTTTATAAAAATCAGTATTATTGCGAACCAAATGAAAGTTTTCGACAGAGTCGTCTGCTCTTGACCAGGGTATTTAAACTTTTCTCTATTCTCTTGTCCTATTGAATAAATACAATAGCTATTGTTCTCTGTGTAGTTTTTCACTGGGACCTTTAAATTTCTTCTAGGAGAAATCTATCACTCATTGATTAATTTACCTGACCAAAAAATTTTCTTCTTTTTTGGGGGAAATAGTTGTATAAACTCGCATAAACTGCATGCAATATTGTATTTAATCAATATCAATAATATATTTTCAGTCTGTTCAACATAAACACTGATTTAATTATAAAAAGTTTATTTCTGACAAAATATTTAGTATTGTTCCAATGAATTTGTATGTTTTTGTTGTTGTTCAGTTATAGAATACATTTATCAAGACCTTAATTTAAACACAATAATTTTCAAGTTTTTATTTGTCAAACACACAAAAAAAAAAGCAAATTTTAATAAGGAAAATATAAAAAATTTGTTCAGAAACCAACTTTTAATTTTTGAATCAGTGTTTATATTGAAACTATTAAAAATGAATTATTGATATTGAATAAATACAACACCACATGCAGTTTTTTGAGTCCTTATTTAGTATTTGTACATGTATTTTCGTTATTAACAGTTCAATTTTTTGTTCAGGTAAATTAATCAGTGAGTGATAGATTTCTCTTGGACAACTTAGGAAGGTATGTTCAGTATTTCAGTTATATCCAGTAAATAAAGTACTCTTCAGGCACTTTGCTTGTGGTCAAATAACGTCTGTTCAGACACTTTGCTTGTTGTCAAATTAGGTCTTTTTAATCTATTTACAGAATTCTAAATGGCTATTATTTTGCTTGGTCGTATTGGCAATAAAACCACTTTTTCTTATTTTTTTTTTAAGTCAGGTCCGAGGAAAGGCAGAATTTTTCTGTCAAAATCTGACATGTTACGTGAGTGCTCCGTTTTTTAGAATAAACGGATGTTTTAATACTTCTTCCACGCTGACCGAATTTTTAGCTGTTTAGAGCAATCTACGAAACGGGTCAAGTGGAAAGTTTGGATAAGTTGATTGTTTACAATTTTACAGTCTGTACACGAGACTGTGTAAACACATCACTATATTAAAATCAGAATAGGTGTTTTTGGCCAGATCTGATTATATTAATGTGGATAACGTCCTTATGGGAGCGTAGACCACTATTGTCACTAGAACCTCAATTGGTTCAATAAATTTCAATCAGAAAAGGGAATTTGCCCATATCCGATTGTTATTTTATTTGGATAACGTTCCATACAGGGAGCGTAGACCAACATTGATACTCACATTGACTGTTTAAAGTTGATAAATAAATAAAAAATAAAATAAAATAAATCACAATCAGAATAGGGAATTTGCCCACAACTGATTATGTTTATTTGGTTAACCTTCCATTCAGGGAACATAGTCCATATTTATTGAAAATAAAACGTGCTTAATGAATCACAAATAAAATTAAAATTAGAATAGGGATTTTGCCCAAGTCTATCTGATTAATGTTGACATCGTTTCATCCAGAAAACATAGGAACTAAGAACAACATGGCGCATGACTTTGGATCTGTAAGTTGCATGCATTCTACTACAATACAGATTTGATATCTTACATAAAAATCATAACTATTAATTGATTGCACATTGATATTTAAGTAGTCTAATACGAACCAAATGACTGGGTTGAAGTCACAAAAATACTACCAAAAGTGTTTTGGTTGGTATATATGGAATCATATCAGAATGTATAGAATTCAGATAAGGTGAACAAGAGAGAAATAAAATGAGCATTTCTGATTGTGAAACCATTTTCAAAACAACTAAGAACACTTAAGTCAGCAAGAAAGTACAAGTGTTTTTCCATATGGTCAAACGTGTTTTCTTTAAATACACCTATAGAACTATATTTAACAATTTGCATGTTAGTATTTCTGATTGCGAAATAATTTCTGAAACAAATAAAAACAATTGTCAAGAGCAACAGTTCAAGAGTTGTTCAATATGTCAAACTTTTGTTTCTTTAAATTTGGAACTGTACATGGCAAGATATAATTTATAAGGGTTCTAATTTTAGACAGTATATCATTGTGAAATATTATTTAGAAATATCAAAACAACATTGACAGACAGATTTTTCATAGTTGTCAGCATTCTTATTGGCTTATTAGGACAACAGTTATTGGTTTGCTCAACATCCAAATGCTCTGTAGAAGCAGTATGCTACCATTGGAAAACATGTATATTTAAACATTTCCACTGATTTGCCCATTTCTGTATTTTTACACTTAAGTAGTCTAATACGAAACAAAAAGATTGTTCATTGTTGAACTGGTAGACATTGTATTCAAAGGTTCCACCATTCATAGAAATTTCTATCAGATTTAAAATTTAGTCGGTTTGGAAAATTGTCATTCTATAATAATGCAAGAATTCTCTTGACAAAAATATTTTCGTTCTAAATCTATAAGATATTAAAAAGAGTAGTATATCTAGCAGAAGAATAAGTACTCAGGGAGACTATAACTTCAAAAAAAAAAAGTTTATAGATTAATCCAGATTTAGCATCATCATGAAACAACTTTTGTTTGAGTCTTTATTATACTTTGTTTGTATTAAGGACACTTATTTACAAAGTATATTTTAATTGATTATAATTCTTTGACAATAAAGCAGAAAAGAATTTATTTCGAAAGATATGATATTGATCAGGTTATCAAAAGATGACAGCAATCATATATTCTCTGTTATTATATTAAAACTATAGAGAAAACAATGGAAAGTTAGAGGAAGCTAATTGTTTTCAAATAAACTAAAGTTTTGAAAACTAATATTTCAAAGTTGAAAGTAAATGATACTAAGGTTGTATTAGTTCTTGTCGATTTGTACAAGCAATAAGAACAACCTATTCAAAAATAAATGCTTATTTACTGTTGCAATAATATTACAACACAGTTAACTCATAATGAAGGAGCTTTAATGAAATAATTTCTATACTGGCCTGTAGATTATTTATTCAACAGATATAGAAAGATGTGGTCTTAGTGCCAATGAGACAACTCTCCATCCAGTCTATTTTTGCATACTTTTATTTATGCAATCTGCAAAGTTTTGCCATTGATACATACAGTTATACAGCATAGCTTTATTGTATAATAAATTTAAATTTAGTAATTTCGGTTTTGACTAATATCCGTATTTACAAAATTAAGTGGAGTTATTTTTTAAAAATTTTGACATAGTTTTATATGTTGGAAATTGTATATGTGTGAGAGAATTTATCCTCCACCAAAATAAAATACTGCTTGTTAATCAGTAAATATTCTATATAATATAAATGTAATTTCATGGTAAGTATATTTAACCAAATTCATATAAAATGGTTATTTTTGAAATCTCAAGAAGAGATTTTATATGAATTTATAGGGTTAAATATACTTACCACAATCCACCACCACCCCTGGAATAAATTCAGTTTTTTGTTCACATAATTGAAATTATTCAATTAAACGACAAATTAAAACTAAAGATACTGTATGTTACACAGGTAAATTATGACGTAGGTGAGTACATCTTATGGATGTAATTTTTAATCACCTAGTTAATTGCGATGAGAACATGTTGTGAAAGCAAACATATTCTATATAATATAAATGAAATTTCATGGTAAGTATATTTAACCCTATAAATTCATATAAAATCTTTCCTTGAGATTTCAAAAATAACCATTCTCTTACATATACTTAATTTACCTGAGTAAAAAAAAAATCTTGTAAAGGAAAATACATCTTATATACTCAAAACTGCTTGTGATGTTATATTTATTCAATATTGATAATATATTTTCAATCGGTTGAATGTAAACAGTGATGCAAACATTAATAAAATATAAAAAAGAAGATGTGGTATGATTGTCAATGAGACAACTCTCCACAAGAGACCAAATGACACAGAAATTAACAACTATAGGTCACCGTATGGCCTTCAACAATGAGCAAAGCCCATACCGCACAGTCAGCTATAAAAGGACCCGAAATGACAATGTAAAACAATTCAAACGAGAAAACTAACTGCCTAATTTATGTACAAAAAATGAACGAAAAACAAATATGTAACACATAAGCAAATGACAACCACTGAATTACAGGCTCCTGACTTGGGACAGGCACATAAATACAGAATGTGGCATGGTTAAACATGTTAGCGTTGATTTCTGTTATATTCATAATATATTTTCATTCAGTTTAATATATAAACATTAATTCAATCATAAAAAGTTGATTTCTGACAAAACTTTCAACATTGTTCCTTTTAAAAAAAAATTTGTTTGACATGAATAAAAACTTGAAAATTATGATGTTCAAATTAAGATCTTCTTAAATGTATTCTATAACTAAACAAAAAAAAATCAAATTTCAATATGAACATTGATAAAACTTTTGTTAGAAATCAACTTTTTATGATTGAATCAATGTTTATATTAAACTGAATGAACATATATTATCAATATTGAATAAATACATCATCACACGCAATTAATGAGTATAAAAAAAGTATTTTTGTCTATATATAAGAATTTTTTTTTACACAGGTAAATTAATCAATGAGTGATAGATTTCTCTTAGAAGAAATTTAAAGGTCCCAGTGAATAAACTACACACAGAAAAATAGCTATTGTATTCATTCAATAGGACAGGTGAACTTACAAAAGTTTAAATACCTGGTCAAGATAGAGATGTCACTGTGGAAAACTTTCATTGGGTTTGCAATAACAAAAATGCAACATCTATTGGTCTTTTTTTACAATAAGAATAGTCTATTAAGTATAACATGTTGTACTTACAAATACAATGACTTGAACTGTTTGATCTCGTAGCCAAGGTATACTTCATCACAGTACCAGAACAAGCCTTACAAGTAGTTTGACCAGTAACATCTTGGTATGTATTCAGTTCACAGTCAATACACTGAGAAGAACTTGATTTAGTTCCTATTGGACAAGGCACTGAAAACAAAAGTTTGTATCATCTTAAATAAGTGTTTTTGGATGCATCTTTATTATCACCATGCAAAGGCCATTAAGTGTGGGATAATTTTTTACATTATCCATTTCACCACTTTCTTTGACAGTGAACATTAAAGTAGAGAACTGTTGAATGAGAGAATACATGTCTGTCCCTAGTAATTAAACCATGAAAGTCCCATTACTCAAAGACAAGATAAAGAAAATTGTCAAAAATTCAAAGGGATGAAACATGTTGTAAAATTGCATAATATTTAAATAGATAAAAATTTACTTAGAACTTGTATTTGATAATCTTCATGCTTAAACTTTTGAAAAATCAGTTAATGAATCTCAACTTGTCCTGAGACGTGTTATAAATGTTATTGAATCATCGTTCAAGGGAAAATAAAAGAACAGAGTTCCAATGTCCCCCGCTTTGCACATATTTTATCTATCCAAGGTACAATGGCAATAACTAAAAAAGCATTTTTTTTTGTTCTTTAAAACTGTTTATTCATATCTTACAGGTTGCACTTTGTAAATACAGCTGTTTCACAAACCACATCTCTTTTGGGGAGATATATAATATTCATAGATATTTTGTTTTGTTTACATACTGGTTCCCAGATATGACCTCTATGTTACATCTCAAAGAGACATAACTTTGGAATGTGACCAGTATAAAAACACATGGGATCAGCGAAAATTGAACTCTGAGGAAGACCCAAAGTGAAGGGAGGGGTAGTACAGAATTTTAGTATCAGTTAAAGTTTGAAATTTTAGAAGTTCGTGGCATATTAATGTTGAAAATATGCCACACAGCCCTATGTTTTGACCTTTGAATAAAATAGTAGTGCATATCAATTTTCCATTCTAGGATAAAAAAAAATTACGAAACTTCCTAGTAACAAGAGGCTCTCAAGAGCCTGAATCGCTCACCTGTATATCACAGAGGAAAAGATTTTTAAATGTTAGCAAACTTGATGAACAAATTGTGTAAAATTGTCTTTAAAGGGCAATAACTCCTTAAGGAGTCAATTGACAATTTTGGTTATATTAACTTTTTTGTAGATCTTACTTTGCTGAACATTATTGCTGCTTACAGTTTATATATATCTATGATAATATTCAAAGTAATAACAAAAAACTGCAAAATTTTGTTAAAACTACCAATTCGGTGGCAGCAACCCAACAATGGGTTGTTTGATTCTTCTGATAATTTCAGGGCCTATAGATCTTGACCAATTCAACAATTTTACCCCATGTCACATTTGCTCTAAAAGATGTAGTTTTTGAGATATAAGCCAAAAACTGCATTTGACCCTTATGTTCTATTTTTAGCCATGGCGGCCATGTTTGTCGATGGATACAAACTTCGGATACACTTTATAAACAAGATACCCTAAGGAACATTTAGTTAAAGTTTGAAGGTAATTGGCCCAGTAGTTTCAGAGGAAAAGATTTTTAAATGTTAGCAAACTTGATGAACAAATTGTGTAAAATTGTCTTTAAAGGGCAATAACTCCTTAAGGGGTCAATTGACAATTATGGTCATATTAACTTTTTTGTAGATCTTACTTTGCTGAACATTATTGCTGCTTACAGTTTATATATATCTATAATAATATTCAAAATAATAACAAAAAACTGCAAAATTTTGTTAAAACTACCAATTCGGTGGCAGCAACCCAACAATGGGTTGTTCGATTCGTCTGAAAATTTCAGAGCTGGTAGATCTTGACCAATGGAACAATTTTACCCTCTGTCAGATTTGCTCTAAAAGCTTTAGTTTTTGAGATATAAGCCAAAACTTGCATTTGACCCCTATGTTCTATTTTTAGCCATGGCGGCCATGTTTGTCGATGGACCAAAACTTCGGATACAATTTATAAACTAGATACCCTAAGGAACATTTAGTTAAAGTTTGAAGGTATTTGACCCAGTAGTTTCAGAGGAGAAGATTTTTGAAATAGTTTACGACGACGACAGACGACGGACGCCAAGTGATGGCATAAGCTCACATGTGGCCCTTTGGGCCCCGGCGAGCTAAAAATGGCACAGTTTTAGCCGTAAAGGGAGTTCCTATGGGAAATTGCATTGTCTATATTTACAGAAGTGCAACCTATAGAAATGAAGGCTTCAGAGCAAATGCAATGTAATTTCCATTATGATTAATATTTCCAAAAGGCATAAGTCGTTAAAAATATTTGATCAGCACTTATTCTAAAAAGTGTCAAAGATATTGCTGATATAAACCTATAGTATCAATTTCATAAAAATCTGGCAAGAATTATACACATTAGAGCGCTCATAAGGCAATTTTCCATATAATTAATATCTCCAAGGGGCATAATTCTTTTAAAAATAATTGATCGGAACTGATTTTCCAACTTGTCAAAGACATTGCTAATATAAACCTATGATTTAAGTTTCATAAAATTCTGGAAAGAATTGAACACATAAGAGTGCTAACAATGCAATTTTCCATATAATTAATGTTTCCAAGAGACATAACTCTTTTAAAAATAATTGATCGGAACTGATTTTCAAACTCGTCAAAGACATTGCTGATATAAACCTATGATATAAGTTTCATAAAAATCTGGCAAGAATTGAACACATGAGAGCGTTAACAATGCAATTTTCCATATAACTAATGTTTCCAATGGGCATAACTCTTTTTTTTAAATAATTGACCTGATTTTCGAACTTGTCAAAGACAGTGCAGATATAAACCTTTGATATAAGTTTCATAAAAATCTGGCAAGAATTGTACATGTGAGAGTGCTAACAAGACCGGACGGACAGACAGATGGACGCCCGGTATTTCTTTGTGCTGGGGACAAAAACTTCTATAAGGAGTCAGTTGACAATTTCAACCATGTTGACTTTTTGGTAGATCTTGTGTTGCTGAACAATTTTGCTATATATATTATTGCAATGTATATTTTTTTTGCTTAACAATAATAAAATGGGTAAAAATTGTCATTCAGGGGCAATAACTCGTAAAAGGAGTCAGTTGACAATTTCGGCCAAGTTGATTTATTTGTAGATCTTGTTGTGCTTTAACTCTGCAATTAAAACTTCTCACTATCTGTCATGGTTTCTGCAAAAATAGATAAAAAAACAAAACAATTTCCATGGGCAATAACTCTTGTAAGCGGTCAATTGATAGTTTTGACCAAGTTGACATATTTGTAGATCTTGTTTGGCTGCACATTTTGCTTTTACAGTTTAATAATTCCTATATGGGGTCATTTGACAATTCCTCAATTTTGACTTATTGTAGATCATATTTATTTGAACTTTTTTACTTTTGAAATATTCTCTCTATCAACTATAGTTTCCTAACAAAAATGCAAAAATGGTAAAAATTATCATTTAAAGGCAATAATTCCTATAAGATGTCATGTGATGATTTCTGCCATATTTTACTTATTCGAAGAGCTAATTGTTTCAGTCATTTTTAATGTTAAAAATTTCTCTTTCTCAGTTATAGTTTTCAAGATAACCAAATACAGGTTGTTTGACTTACCTGGAAAATTTTTGGAGTAGATAGACTGATCAATTTAATCCTTGATGCTTTAGTTTAGAGATATATGCCCAAAACTTTAAAATTTACATATAGAATGACCTTTCAAGAGCAATAACTCCAAAAATGGGTTGTCAGATTTTTCTGAAAATTCTACAGGGGATTACCTTGACCTGCTGATCATTTTCACCCATCAAGATTTGCTCTCACTGCTTTAACGTTAAGAATATAAGCAAAACCCTTCATTTTAGTTATTTGTTAACTATTTGTAATAAACTTTTAAATATTCTTTTCTTCTCATACATGTCATATAAAAAACTCAAGACTTCTTTTTCCTGCCAAAAATCTGAAATGCAAGGAGAAACTAGATGTATGTGAACAATACTAATGGCTCCACTTGAAAAAAAAAGTCCAAAGCCTGTAATTTCAGCAAAATACAGGAGCAGAACCAAACGTAAACTTGATCTGTAACTTATCATAGTAGACTCACATACCAGAAATCAGCTCAATATATATGTAAAGGCATTTAGAAATAAATTGCTTCGCCAAGCGCAGCTGGATATGACCGCAGAGGTCCAACACTGAACAGTTTGGGCAAAAATGGACGCAATATTCGCACTTGATACAGGTCTGAATTTGGATTGTAATTAAATATTTGACACATAAAAGGTTTCTGACACAGAGTAACTGTAGTCAAAGAACTTAGAATTGGTTTTTGCTTTTGTGCAATACACTTTGATGTTGCGAATTGACCCCCCTCCCCCACACAAAAAAAAATAAAAAAAAATCTAACCCCCCTTTTTTTTTGCTTTTGTGCAATACACTATGCTGTTGCATATTAACCCCCCCCCCCCCCCCCCGAATTTCTGAAATCGGAAATGAGAAAAAATTTCCCCTCCACAATTTCCCCCCCCAAAAAAAATTCTCTCCCTCAAGATATGGTCATAATCTCAATTTAAATTTCCAATGAAGTTTGCAATCATAATTACACATTTAAACTTACCATAGTGCTAACTTAATCTATTTTATAATAGAATTTAAAATATGGTGTCAAATATTTCATATGGATTTGTAAAAAAAAAAAGATGCAAAATTTGCAGATATTTTTACTGGTCTTTACCTTTATAAATATGCATTTCTTTAAACATAATTTAAAAGCAGTGTAAGGGAGGTAATGAAATGTTGTATTTGGATAACCTCCCTTACACTGCTTTTAAATTGTCTTAATTGTTCATTAACCATTATATTCTGTTTCACATTCAATGTTTACTATATGTTTTCATAATCATCCGGAACAAATCGCACTGGTCCAATTTCTTACATCACCGTACGTATTGACTGCCTTTAATTTCTGTGACACCGTCTGCTTCAATATTTCAACACATGTAACATGGACGACATTTAATTTTCTGAGGAAATCGAGACATATCACTGTCAAGTATGTTTTATTCATTTATAAACTGTGATAATTTAATCTGTTTAAGTCCGTTAATTTGGATAAGTGATTTATTAAATGCATACGAACTGTAAGTTATCTATAACCGAGATTGGAACTGTAAATTCTACTTTCGTTTTCATTTCATTGTTTTAAATATTTGCATATGAACTTTAATATGTTCTTTCATACACATTGTAAGTATTTCTTTTTGTTTTATTGCAGATTACCACAAACAATCTACTTACTACTTGTAAACCTTTCTGGTGGAATATTATAATTACAATTTTCGAAACAAGTTGTGTTCTTTATATATTTGCCGAGATTGCTATACAGTCACCTGGTTAAGCTAGCTGAGTCAGGCTCAGCATACATTACTTTATACATAATTACAAAGCAGTGTAAGGGAGGTAATTCAAATGATGTATTTGAATTACCACCCTTACACTGCTTTTAATTATGTTTTGTACTAAAGTATTTGTCCATTAACCAGGACACCATTGGTTTTCACCCTTTTTTGCCCCTAATTCCTAAACACTTTGAGCCATAACCCCCCAAAGCAAATCCTAACCATCCCTTTGTGGTATAATACCAGAGAGATCCATACACTGTTCCATAAGTTATTGTCTGGAAACTAGAATAATACTTAATTTTGGCCCCTAATTCCTTAACTGTTGGTACCATAGCCCCCAAAACCTTCCTTTTGTGGTATTGAACCTTATGGTAAAATTTCATAGAGATCCATTCACTTAAACTAAAGTTATTGTGCGAAAACCAATGTGTCTTCGGACGATGACGCCAACGTCATACCAATATACGACCACAAAAATTTTTTGCGGTCGCATAAAAAGTCTGTATAACTGTTATTTTCATGAAAAGTTCAGTCTTAATCCTATAATTTTGGCAAAATAACAGTAGAGCAGAACTTAACGTAAACTCCATCTGTAACACATCATAGTAGATTCACATACTAAAAATCAGCTCAATATGTGAAGGCATTTAGAAACAAGAATGTGTCCATAGTACACAGATGCCCCACTCGCACTTTCATTTTCTATGTTCAGTGGACTGTGAATCTGGGGTAAAAACTCTAATTTGGCATTAAAATTAGAAAGATCATATCATAGGGAACATGTGTACTAAGTTTCAAGTTGATTGGACTCCAACTTCATTAAAAACTACCTTGACCAAAAACTTTAACCTGAAGCGGGACAAACGAACGAACGAAGGAACAGACCGAAAAACATAATACCCCTCTACTATTGTAGGTAGGGCATAAAAAAGTCTGTATAACTGGTTGTTGCGGAATATCTGAATGACGGATAAGCGTAAAACTATATGGTCCCATAAACTTACCACAGTTGGAACCAGACTGCACCTGACCCGAAGGACAACTCAACGTTGTATGACTCACTGTTGCACTCAGTGGTTCTAAGATTTGGGTCTGAAACAGAAATAGATTATTGAAATACCTGTGAATACTACTTTTTTGGTTCAAATATTGTCCATCCTAAATAAAAGATTTAAAAATATAAGATGAACATAGTGAATAAGTCCAAATAAAAATATACTTGCATTTACATTTTACTGACAAACCCAAACTGTTCTGCTCTGACTTCTAAACATTTCATGAAGTTTTCTTCATTATAAATTTCAATCTGATTAAAATTAGATCATTCACTTTGCTCTACAAGATTTTTTTTTTACTGGTACTTGTGTAAGATCTGAAAACATCCCAGAAGAGGACAGCTTTAGATGACCTAGTTTGTAAGTTTTTGATAAACCAATCAATTTGGTTGCTATGCTGGCACTTTGATTGTTTTTTTTTTACTCCCTAACATAGCTTGACACAATTCAATCAAAATTCTACTGCTATATTGATAAAATGATTGATCGATTAACTATTTATAATGAAAATAAGAACCCCCCACCCCAAGAAATCTAAATAGCTCACCTGGTAAATATATGCAATTTTATAAAATTAAGAATGGAAATGGGGAATGTGTCAAAGAAACAACAACCTGACCAAAGAGCAGAAAACAGCCAAAGGCCACCATTGGGTCTTCAACACAGCAAGAAAATCCCCCACCTGGAGGCAGGCTTCAGCTGGCCCCTATAGAGGAATGGGGCTGAATAGTGAAATATGAGATTTAGATAAATATTCCTAAAGTAATGAACATAGAGAAGTTCTCACTCGGACACACACTCCATTATCTTGTATATTATAAGAGCATAAACCTGAATATATTTATTTGCACTTGGACTGCAATCAGATAATCTTATTTATTGATATTTTTGTACATCTTGTATTGATGATTATTTTTACTGTTAAACATTAGTATTAAAGTTTTTTGAGATAATTCAATTGGCAAAAAAAAAAAGAGAAGTAAACTACTCTCTATAGCATTCAACAACAGAATGTCTATTAGTCCCACCATGGGTCTGAAACAGGTGTTATTTGCATGACAAAATAAGATTCTGAAAAGCCCATGACCGAAATGGTAATCATCAATTCTGATTTAAAAATTGAAAAATATTCAATTACTTAGAAAAAGTAATTTTCATGATTTTTCTAAAGTTAAAAACATGTGCTTTTTTAATTATGTAATAGTATCCCCCTTTTTAACATGTACAAGATTAGACACTTAATTGTAAAATGTGAAATACTTCCATGCCAAATTAAAGGAGTGGAACTATTTAATTCATATTTAAACACTTTTATCAGTAATAAAGAAATAAAGTAAATACAGTGATTTCCTGCTATTTGATAATTAGAAGAAACTCAGAAGGCTAATCTGGATTTCTTTGTTAATCAAAATGGGAAGTATAGCCAGTCAATTCCTGGAAAAAATTGCAATTTTAAATCATTATCAATCGCTTGAATTTTTAATTGTTGCATTCAACAAATCATTCTTTGTTTTTACAACTAAGAACTAAGTGTAGAACAGATAGGAATTTTCTGCTGTAAATTCTTTTTGAAAAGTTGATTCAATATACATATATATGCATGTAGATAATGCTGTGACCTCTTGTATGAAAAATTGAAGAAAAAATCCAGATCCTCCAGTTCTACACATTGGAAACTATAGACAACAAAAACCAATTAAAAGCTGGTCAAAATATCCTAAATTTGTGTGTATTCCTCAATTATGCAAAGTTTGAATAATCTTAAGGGAAAACTCTTTGAAAATATTTTTGATAGTCCATTGTAAAAAATACCAAAACTTCTGAATGGATAGATTTGATAGGATGCTAATTAAAAGATCTGTAACTCAGCATAGTAGATTCACAAACTAAAATTCCCATAAAGATTAAACCCAATGTCAGCCATGTCTACCTACAGTTTATAGATATAAGAAGATGTGGTATGAGTGCCAATGAAACAACTCTCCATTCAAGTCACAATTTGTAAAAGTAAACCATTATAGGTCAAAGTATGGCCTTCAACACAGAGCTTTAGTTAGTTCAATTAAATAGAACTTTATTAACACTCTAGACAGTTTACACTGTAACAAGAGGCAGACAAATGATACAAATAATAATTTACAATGGTGAACAAGATAGAAAGAAATATACATACATAGTTCATTATACCCAATTCTCTGTACACAAGTATACACATACATAACACGTGATAATCATTCAGAGCTATAATAATGGGATTTAATATGGCCAGTCGAAAACATGTAAGTGATGATAATATATTAATAATCATAGATATTTCATAATTTTTTTGATAAAAATAGACAAGTTATTCAAGACTTTTACATTACACAAAGACATCAAACCTTTCATTTTATATTCTGAAGGGTTAACAATATAGTAATTTGGGATATATGCACGTCTTAATTTTTTAACCTCGTCATTGCGACATACAAATAAGTAATGAAACTGATTTCCAATACAATTATTTTTGCACAAAGTACATACTCTTTCCTCTTTTGGAATGTTATGCCATCGACCAGTTTCTAATGGAATTTTGATATTTGAACATCTAAGTTTGGTAATATATATTCTATTTTCTTTTTTCAATCTTACTAAGTAATTTTCTATGCAAAAAGCGTGTTTAAACAGTAAATAATATCCACCTCTAGAGGAGTTTTCAGCATCACTAAACCACTTTTGAATAAACTGGTCGTAAAATTTGCTTTACATATATTTTGATGTCAACATTTGTTAAAATACATTGATTGTTCCATAAATAGCTCAAACCTGTGTTTTCTAATGTAGATTTTATACAATTAATCCATGTAAAAACAATATTCCCAGAATTATGCATGTTATACAAAAATTGGTATAATAATCCTGATAATTTCGTGCTGTTTAATAATAATTTTAACCAGAATGATAACATTCGTAATCGTACTTTGATTTCCAAGGGATATCTGCCAGTTTCACCGTACACCATATAATTAGGAGTACTGCTTCTTAATGAAAGATTTTTTTTCAAAAATTTTAAATGAACTCTTTCTAAAGCATCTATTTTTTCGAAACCCCATATTTCACAAGAGTAAATCAGTATGGGTTCAACCAAAGAATCGAACAATTTTAGTTGCAAATCAATAGGGATATTTAAATTCCTTATTTTTCTGTAAAGAGCATAGAGTGCCTTTTCTGCTTGTTCTTTCAATTTTTTTTTGGCATTTGTAAATCTACCGTTACAATTAAACAGTAAGCCTAGATAAGGATAAAAATCTACTATTTCAATATCGGAACCATATAATTTGAAATCATGTAAGTGGTTTCTTTTGCTTTTTCTTTTTGAAAATATCATAATCTTTGTCTTATCAGTGTTCACAGAAAGTTTCCATTGTGTACAATATAATTCAAACTTATCTAATGTATTTTGCATACCACTTGCTTTTCAGCAAGTATGATAGTGTCATCTGCATAGAATAAGATAAAAAATTGTAAATATAGTCCAATATATTCTTGACAATGGGTTGATACTGTTTCAAGTCCATTTATGTTATTTTCACATAAAAATTCTTCTAGATCCGAAAGAAAAATAGAAAACAAAAAAGGTGATAAATTTTCTCCTTGGCATACTCCGAGCTCACTAGAAAAGAAGCCAGAAATATCAATTCCCTTTTTGACACAAGATTTAATATTATCATACATATTAATAAAATGCTTCGCTGGGGCGCAGCTTGATACGACCGCAGAGGTCGAACCCTGAACAGTTGGGGCAAGTATGGACACAACATTCAAGCTTGATACAGCTCTGAATTTGGATTGTTATTAAATATTTGACACAGCATAGGTTTCTGACACAGAAAGAATGTGGTCTAAGAACTTGAATTTTTTTTAATTTACCTATTATGGTCCAATGTCCAAAATCAAAATACATGGTTAGATTCAGCATATCAAAGAACCCCATATATTCAATTTTTGTTAAAATCAAACAAAGTTTAATTTTGGACCCCAACTTGGACAAACTTGAAAACTGGGCCCATAATCAAAAATCTAAACATATGTTTAGATTCAGCATATCAAAGAACCCCAAGAAATCAATTTTTGCTAAAATCAAACTAAGTTTAATTTTGGACCCTTTGGACCTTAATGTAGACCAATTTAAAAAACAGGACTTAAAATTAAATATCTAAATACACGGTTAGATTTGGAATATCAAAGAACCCCAATAATTCAATTTTTGATGAAATCAAACAAAGTTTAATTTTGGACCCTTTTGACCTCAATATGAACCAATTTGATAGCGGGGCCCACAAATAAAAAATCTAAATTCATGGTTAGATTCAGCATATCAAAGAACCCCATATATTCAATTTTTGTTGAAATCAAAAAAAGTTTAATTTTGGACCCCAACTTGGACCAACTTGAAAACTGGGCCCATAATCAAAAATCTAAACACATGTTTAGATTCAGCATATCAAAGAACCCCAAGAATTCAATTTTTGTTAAAATCAAACTAAGTTTAATTTTGGACCCTTTGGACCTCAATGAAGACAAATTTAAAAAACGGGACCCAAATTAAACATCTAAAAACACGGTTAGATTTGGCATATCAAAGAACCCCAATAATTCAATTTTTGATGAAATCAAACAAAGTTTAATTTTGGACCCTTTTGACCTCAATATGAACCAATTTGATAGCGGGGCCTACAAATAAAAAATCTAAATACATGGTTAGATTCAGCATATCAAAGAACCTCATATATTCAATTTTTGTTGAAATCAAACAAAGTTTAATTTTGGACCCCAATTTGGACCAACTTGAAAACTGGGCCCATAATCAAAAATCTAAATACATGTTTAGATTCAGCATATCAAAGAACCCCATATATTCAATTTTTGTTGAAATCAAACAAAGTTTAAATACTGGACCCTATCTTGGACCAACTTGAAAACTGGGCCCATAATCAAAAATCTAAACACATGTTTAGATTCAGCATATCAAAGAACCCCAAGAATTCAATTTTTGTTAAAATCAAACTAAGTTTAATTTTGGACCCTTTGGACCTTAATGTAGACCAATTTAAAAAACAGGACCCAAAATTAAAAATCTAAATACACGGTTAGATTTGGAATATCAAAGAGCCCCAATAATTCAATTTTAGATGAAATCAAACAAAGTTTAATTTTGGACCCTTTTGACCTCAATATGAACCAATTTGATAACGGGGTCCACAAATAAAAAATCTAAATACATGGTTAGATTCAGCATATCAAAGAACCCCATATATTCAATTTTTGTTGAAATCAAACAAAGTTTAATTTTGGACCCCAATTTGGACCAACTTGAAAACTGGGCCAAAAATCAAAAATCTAAATATATGTTTAGATTCAGCATATCAAAGAACCTCATATATTCAATTTTTGCTAAAATCAAACAAAGTTTAATTTTGGACCCTTTGGACCTTAATGTAGACTATTTTGAAAACTGGACCAAAAATTAAAAATCTAAATACACTGTTAGATTCGGCATAACAAATAAATAAATGTGATCAAAGATTTTACAAATCTAATGTGCCATACTGTGCAATTAAAGATAACTTCTTGAAATTTTTCAATATTTGAAATTTGAAAAAAAAATAATATTTGAAGAATAATTCTTTTTAATTTCTGAAATCTGAAATGAGAAAAAATTGACCCCCCACAATTTCTTTTTATCCCCCCCCTTTTTTCCCCAAAAAAATTCTTTCCCTCAAGATATGGTCATAATCTCAATTCAAATTTCCAATGGAGTTGGCAACCATAATTACCCATTTAATTTTACCATAGTGCTAACTTAATCTATTTTATAAAAGAATTAAAAATATAGTGTCAAATCTTTCATATAGATTTTTTTGTAAAATAAAATGATGCAACATTTGCAGATATTTTTACTGGTCTTCCTTTATAAATATGCATTTCTTTAAACATAATTTAAAAGCAGTGTAAGGGAAGTAACCAAAACGTTGTATTTGGATTACCTCCCTTACACTGTTTTAAATTATCTTTATTGTTCATTAACCATTACTTTATACATAATTTAAAAGCAGTGTAAGGGAGATAATTTCAATGATGTATTTGATTTATCTCCCTTACACTGCTTTAAATTATGTTTTGTACTAAAGTATTTGTCCATTAACCAGGACAACCTTGTTTTTCCCCCTTTTTTGCCCCTCATTCCTAAACGGTTTGAGCCATAACCCCCCAAAGCAAATCCTAACCATCCCTTTGTGGTATGGAAACTTGTAGTATAATTTCAGAGAGATCCATACACTGTTCCACAGTTATTGTCTGGAAACTAGAAAATGCTTATTTTTGGCCCCTAATTCCTTAACTGTTGGTACCATAACCCCCAAAATCAATCCCAACCTTCCTTTTGTGGTATTTAACCTTATGGTAAAATTTCAAAAAGATCCATTCACTTAAACTAAAGTTAGAGTGCGAAAACCAATGTGTATTCGGACGACGACGACGACGCCAACGTCATACCAATATACGACCACAAAAATTTTTTTGCGGTCGTATAAAAATCACTCTTAATATTTTTCCGGTAACTTGATTTTTTACCAACTTTTGCCATAACCCCAATCTCCAAACAGTATCAAACGCTTTCCTAAAGTCGATAAACGTACAATAAAGTTTTTTACCAAATGATAAATATAATTCTACCAGCACATGTAAACAAAAGATGTTATCCAGTGTTGAATAGCCTTTCCTGAAGCCAGCTTGTGCTTTTGGAATAATTTCAAATAAGTCTGCATATTTTGAAAGTCTCCCATTCAGTATGGCAGTAAATAATTTTCCCAGGGAAGATACTAGAGTAATTCCTCTATATGAGTCAGGATTAAGGGGGTCCCCCTTATTTTTGAAAAATGGTAAAATAATACCTAAGGTACAAGCTTCAGGAATGGCTCCAGAGTCTAATATTTTATTAAATAACTTAAGATAAAATGGCATCATAAATTGAATGGTAGATTTCACATATTCATTTAAGACCATATCATAACCTGGCACTTTTCCGTTTTTTTTAAATCTTTAACGGCTTTAAAAATTTCATTTTCTGTAATTTTACCATTTAAGATTGCATTTACACATTCGTCATTGCAATCTGGTATTTCAAAATCTATATCATCTCGTTCTCCGTCTGTGTTTAAATTTTTGAAATAAGCGTGAAGTTCATCAAGATCGATTGGTGTGTTTTTATCCTGTGGTCTTTCAAAATTATTCAAAACATTCCATAATTTTCTTGGATCATGTTGATCCATACTACGCAGCTCGTTTTCAGCTTTAAAATGAAACTCCTCGTAACTTTTGTTCATTACTGTTTTATATGCCTTACTTGCTATTTTAAAATCGTATCTACTTTCCTCCGTTTAAAATAAATTATGTTTTTTCTTTGCTTGGTGAAAGTCATCTCGTTTTACACGACATTGCGCATTAAACCACGGTTGATGATGTTTTGAATTTTGGTTAATTTTGGCGGGTTTATTACCGAAATTTTCTATGGCTGAATCAAGAAACACTTTATTTAAACTTTCAACTTATTCGTTAAGGTCAGTTTGAAAATTTTCATTAGCTATATCAAGCGTGTCTAACTGGTTCGACAAGTTTTCAATGGTCAATTTACTTTCAACGCTGTCAACAAATTGATCTCTTTTGTCACCAATCCAACGAATATGCTTACTAGGCACATTCAATGAGTTGTTTTTATCAAGCAAATCATCTGGTAACATAGCTGAAAGATTGAAATACAATCTACAATGAATATCTGAAAATAACGGATCAAAATTAATAACTTCAAATTCTGTAATATAGGGGAACAAATCTCCTGATACTATTAAGTAATCAAGTAAACTAGTTTCTTTGCTAGTTACTTTGCCCATATTTTTGTCGTTACCAATTCTGCCATTAGCAATATATAAACAATTGTTTTTACATAATTGCAAAAGTTTGTTACCAAATACATTGATGCGACCTTTGTCCTCAGACGATCTTTGTAAGGGTACATTATATAAACATAAATTATGATAGTCATATAAACATCTATCTATCTCATCTATTCCATCATAATTCAAAATTTTTGAAAGTTCATCGTCTGGTATGATATAATCACAAAGAGACCCTGATCTGGCATTAAAATCGCCGAGTAGTGCAGTTGAAGTGCTTTGATCTTTTAACGTAATTAATTCTGTTTCAATTTCATCAAATGCATCCTTGGAGGAATACTTTGAATTTTCGGGAGGTACATAAATACAACCAAACATAATTTTAGTTAATTGCATTGGAATATCTACTTTAACCCAAAGTACAAACTCAGAGTCTGTGTTAATAAATGTAAGAATTTTTTTTAGACAATTTTTATAAATAACTGTTATACCACCAGATTTTCGTTCAAATGTTTTTCTATTTTTGGTAAAATAATCATACTCCTCAGGCAAATTAAGCTAATCTAAATCATCTAGTTTTGACTCAATACATACAAAAATGTCATTTAGTTCAATTAAATCAGTAAATTCTTTAAATATTAATCGTTTTTTTAGGCCACATACATTTAAGCATGAAATATTTAATGAGTGAGAATTGTTACATATACTGGGTTTAAAGTTCAACTGTCCTCTTGTTTGCCTGTCCTACATGTGGCGGGGGCGACCAAAACCTGCTCTTGATTCGTCTCGTGAGCCAAAGTGCTCCCTTAGAAACTGACTGCCTTGTTGAGATTGATAAATGTTGTCTTGAGAAGAGTGGTTGTTGGGTACATTGGGTGCATTTTTCTGAGCTTCAATTACATCTTCAGGATATATTCTGTGACCATTAACGTATAACTTGTCTTCCTTAAGACGGGCATGATTGCCTAGGCGCTGTTCTCGTTTGAAAATAGGCCATAGAACATTTCTTCTTTCCACCATTTCATATGGATATTGTTCAAAGACGCTGAAAGATGTCTCTTTCAGTTTGGCAGGGGCAGCTCTAAGAACTTTGTTTCTGTCCTTTCGGCTTTCAAATTTAGCCACTATGGTTCTTGGTTTAGCATCCTTGCTTGGTCGGAGGCGGTGAACAATATGAAATTTAATTTCTTCGTTTATCTTAAGTTTTTCTTTAATAAATTTCTTAAGGACTGCTTCCGTTTCCACATTATCCGGGTCATCTTTTTCTCTCGGATCTTCGAGGATGCCACCAAAAAGAAGATTTTCCCTCATCGACCTTGACTGAACTTCGAGAAGCTTTTCTTTAAGTTCCATATTTTCTTGTCTCATGTTATCGAATTCTTCCGTTATAAAGCAAAATCTGTTTTCAATTTTTTTAACTACGTGCTCAGATCCAGTTATTCTGCCTTCTATTTGCTTCATATCTTGTTTAACATTGGAAAGTTCTGTCTCTAATGATGAGAATCTGCTTTCGATCCCCCCCATGACGTTTATCAATCGACGGTAAAGCATCAAGATGTGACAATTTTGTATAAATGTCATTTAATACAGATTCTAGACAGATTTGTGTAAATGTGTGGTATATATACTTGGACAATCGGATACAAGGAGGCATTTAGCTTAATTTGAGTTTATAATATTGTAAATTATCAACTGATTTACACCTGAGGTATCAGCAAGATGATTTATTATTCTAGGAGTAAGATTCAATACTAACAACTGATTTACACCTGGGTTATGAAACTTGATTTGTCATTCTGGTAGCACAAGGTAGTATACTAGAAATAAAATAACTTACACCATCTGGATTGAGGGGGGTATACCGATCCATGTTTATGGTCAGATCTTCTTGAATTACACTCAGAGCAGGTCTTACATTTTTTGTTCCATTATTTGTAACAGTTGCACTAAAATATAAAAATACATCATAGTTAGGCCACGCCAAATTAATATCTCGTTCATCGGATCCCCCCGCATGTTGTGAAAGGTCGACAAGAAAAAAAGTACTTTTTTTTAAAACCTGTGTCCAGTACTAAGCTGCGCGCGTCCGTCTCTAAATTTATGTAACCAAAGTTTTATTTAGTTGTGTGTTTGAAAGTAACACCTTACAGTCACAGAAATTGACATAAAAAACGATCTAGATCTAACATTCACAAGTATTATGGCCAAATATGATATGATTTATATTCTAAATGTAAGACATGAGTGGAATATTTGTACATTGGTAAAGCAGACAAAGAACTTACTGCCAAACACAGCAGTGGACTGTGATTTAGACAATTCTTTCACAGATTTGCTTGAAGTGCTTCGTGCAAGACCACAAAGCACCAACGGCAATGCCACAGAATAATTTGAAAGATTTAAATGATGACAATATAACATGCATAAGAATAAAAGAGAATCCCGAAGATGATGGTACATGCATTGAAATGGCACTGCAATGAAACTATTATTTTTTTTCCCCTTGAATCTTTTATCTATATTTGCTAGTCGGTAAATCCAGAAATTATTGCGATTTTTGAAAAATGGACAAAAATGCGAGATTAATTATTGTGATTTCGTGAAAATATGCATGCAAGTATATGTTTCAGATAGTATAGTGTGAGTTCTTATTATTGCGATAATCTCTCATTCGCATTATTCGCAATAATATAAATCTCGCAATAATTTCTATCAATACAAAGTTATAAGCATGGAATCTGACAAGAAAGTGTATGTGGTAATTGAAAATAACACATCAATCCAACTTCACAATTTACGAAATCTTCTAAAAATAAGAATTTGTATGATTGTCACTGAGACAAACTTCCACCAGAGACCAAATTTGTTGAGGTTTGCAACTAGAGGCTCTCCAGAGCCTGTGTCGCTCACCTGTATCATCTGTTGTTTTGGAAATCATGTAAAATAAGGTTAAAATTATAATCAATAGTATTAGATACCCTAATAATGATTGAGGCCAAGTTTGGTTTAATTTGGCAAAGTAGTTAAATAAAAAGCAGGTCATCCCATTGTAGTCTTACAATAGCTAATGAAGACCCCTTATCTTTATTTACATAAGTTTTCAAGTTGTGATCATTTGAAATTGTTTTTTTTACAATTTTCCCTTAGACTTCTATAGTAAACCCCTATGTTCTATTTTTAGCCATGGCGGCCATGTTGGTCGGATGACAGGGTCATCGGATACATTTTTCAAACAAGATACCCTGTTGAAAATTGTGGCTAAGTTTAATTATATTTGGCCCTGTAGTGGAGAAGATTTTTGTAAAAGATTACAAAAAATTACGAAAAATTGACTATAAAGGGCAATAACTCCTTAAGGGGTCAACTGACAATTTTGGTCATACAGACTTATTTGTAGATCGTACTTTGCTGAACATTATTGCTGTTTACAGTTTATCTCTATATATAATAATGTTTAAGATGCAAACCAAAAACTGCAAAATTTCCTCAAAATTACCAATTCATGGGCAGCAACACAACAACGGGTTGTCTGATGCGTCTGAAAATTTCAGGGAAGATAGATCTTGACCTAATGAACAATTTAACCCAGTGTCAGATTTGCTCCAAATTCTTTAGTTTCAGAGATATAAGCCAAAACTAGATACCCTAAGGATGATTTAGGCCAAGTTTGGTTTAATTTTGTCCAGTAGTTTCAGAGGAGAAGATTTTTGTAAAAGATTACAAAAATTTACGAAATTGTGAAAAATTGATTTTAAAGGACAATAATTCCTTATGTGGTCAATTGACAATTTTGGTCATGTTTGACTTATTTGTAGATCTTACTTAGCTGAACAATTTTGCTGTAAACAGTTTATCACTATCTATTATAATATTCAAGATAATAACCAATAAAAACTGCAAAATTTCCATAAAATTACCAATTCAGGGGCAGCAATCCAACAAGGGGTTGTCAGATTTCAGGGCAGATAGATCTTGACCTGATAATCAGTTTTACCCTATGTCAGATTTACTCTAAATGCTTTGGTTTCAGAGATACAAGCCAAAATCTACATTTTACCCCTATGTTCTATTTTTAGCCATGGTGGCCATCTTGGTTGGTTGGCCGTGTCACCAGACACATTTTTTAAACTAGATACCCCAATGATGATTGTGGCCAAGTTTGGTTAAATTTGGCCCAGTAGTTTCAGAGGAGAAGATTTTTGTAAAAGTTAACGGACGACGGATGCCAAGTGATGAGAAAAGCTCACTTGGCCCTTTGGGCCAGGTGAACTTAAAATATGAAACAATTCAAATTGGGAAAACTAACGACCTAATTCATAATAAAACAATTTGCAAAAAAAAAAGTATGACAGACATTAACCAACAACAATTGCTTACATCCACTTTATTTGAACTTCGGTGCATAGTTGTTTCATGTGCAATCATACCTCATCTCCTTATTTTTAAACTGAACTACAGGCTCCTGACTTGAACAGGCACAGAAAGAACATGGCCGGGTTAAACATGTTTGTGAGTGCTCATCCCACCCCTAACATGGAACAGTGGTGTTACAGCACAACATAAAAACAAACCATAATCAAAGCCTTAAAGGCTGTTAAAGCAATTGCTGCCTTAAGTTAACAGTTTTATTTTTTCATCCACATGTAATAGAATTAAACCGGACAGGGGATTTAAGATGGCCGCCGAGCTGTTAACACTATAAAAGTCAGCTCCTGCAATTTTTGCAAAATTCTTTGTTAATCAAGTGTGGATTTACATATTTTTGTGATTTTCTGATGTATATTGGCATGACTTATCTGAAGACGGATTTATATATGTTAAAATTGTGAAATTAATGACTTTTCCTCAAAGACATTGAAATATTACATATTGTATATAAGGAAAAGGAATTTCAGCTATAGATTAATACTCACACCTATTGGTCATTATGCCTGGAGGCAGTAATACTTTAAACAAAACTTCCACTAAACCTACACATAGTAGAACAGTAAGGAGTGTTCAGACATTATTGGCAGCTAAAAAGGACAACAAAGATGATAAAGAACCTAAGGCTAAAAGAACTCACTCTGAAGTTTCTAAAGACTCAAACACTAGTCTTGATCTATCAGGTCTTATAAACTTTCAAAAAGACCTTGATGAAATAAAATTTAGCTTGAGGGATGTAACCACAAAAGATGATTTGATTGACATTACAAAAGACCTTGTCAAGACTTCAGACTTAGAAAATCTTGTTACTGGAATTGTGAAGAAATTGTTCAGTAAGTTTAAGTCATCACTGGAAAAAAAAATGAACGATAAAATTTCAAAAATTGAAAAAGAGATGGAAGAGAAAACAGAGGCACTATCTATTGAAAATGAGCACCTGAAAAAGAGACTTGATGCAGTGTCCTCTCATATGTCTCCTATTAAGACTGACCTAGCAGAAACAGCAGAAGTTGCCAAAATAGCCAATTTGAGCAGCAATTACAACGAACAATATTCCAGAAAAAACAATATCAAGGTGTTGAACTTTCCAAGGAGAGACAGACAAAACCTTCGCAAGGATTTCATTGAAATGGTAAAAAGAGATTTAGATGTTACTTTAGAAGAAAGGGATGTTGTGGCAATACACAGGTTACCAACTGTACACGAGCCAAGTCCACTTATTGTTCGCTTCTTTAATAGTGATGTGAAGAGAAGTTTTATGCTGGTTAGGAAACAGTTGAATGGGAAGTTGAAATTCGTTGATGATGTCACACAAAGAAATATGGAGCTTATTCATCGGCTGGAGAAGAGCAATCATTTTGAACAGGTTTAGTATTTTAATTGTGGTGTGTATGGTAGAACAGAAAGTGGTGCACAGATAAAGTTTGGAATGTATGATGACATCAACTTTCGACTCAGACAATTTAGGTCTGGGCATTAACTTTTGTGGAAAAAAATATTTCTGACAATTTTTAGATGTAAATTTGAGAAAAATTTGAAAAAAAAACAAACTTTTTTTTAATCAAATATATTTAAAACAATTTCATGAGGAAGGCTCTATTTTGTAACAAAACAATTGAATATTTTATATATGTATAAATCTAAAAAAAAAAAAGGAAATAAGAACTCTAGAATTTGCAAAAAATGTACTTTACTTCAAGTATAAAATGATGCGAGTTATCTTAGTTTTGTATCTATGTTTTTATTCAGTATTTCAACATTTATTTAAAGACAACAGTTTTCAAAAACATTTGTTTGTTTGCCTGATGAATTTAAATTGTGTTATCAATATTTTGTGAATATTGGTACATGTATGTACATGTATAGTGTAAATGTATTTACCTCATTATGGGGTCTCTGAAACTTTTAACAGTAAATTGCCAGGGTTTGCGGGATAGTGCAAAAAGAAAAGATGTGTTTAATTTACTGAAAACAAAAAATTATAATATTTACTGCTTACAAGATACGCATTTTACTACTGAAATTGAGAATGCTGTCAGATCCATGTGGGATTTTGAATGTTTTTTCTCTTCTTTTTCCTCTAATTCAAGAGGCGTATCAATCATGTTTAATAATAATTTTGAATTTAAAGTGCTAAAAGAGAAAAAAGACTTGAATGGCAATTACTTAGCATTAGATGTTAAAATAGATAAACAGAAACTTACACTTTTGTCATTATATGGACCTAATATGGATAGTCCTGGTTTTTATGATCAGATTGTGAATGTTATTGAAGATTTTGGAAATGAAAGTTACATACTTTGTGGTGACTTTAATTTAGTATTAGATCCATGCATTGATTATTGTAATTATTTACATGTTAATAATCCCAATGCCAGAGATAAAGTTCTTGAAATCATAGAGCACTGGTCCCTTGTGGACCCTTTCAGAGAACTGTTTCCTGATCTACACAGATACACTTGGAGAAAAAAATCACCATTCAAACAAGCACGTCTTGATTTTTTTCTTATTCCAGACTGTA